AAACAGCGGCGCGAAATCGCATTTGAATAATTTGAACTTGAAAAAAATCCAATCAAGAAAATCGTTAAACATAGGCAACCATGAGCACGTTTAGTTCTTTTCTGGTAGTTGATAACTCTCTTAGGGAATTTCTGTTGAGAGGGTTGGTAGAAGTTGATTTGGTGGGTAGAGGGCTTAGATCATATAATATATTTATTATATGATCTAAGGTAGAGGGTCACTTTTGGTTTGTTTGTTGTGAGTGAAACCACGTGATGAGTTACCTAGGTTAAGTTTAGTTGGTTTGGTAGTTAATAAAAATGGGGAGCCTTTGTTTAATGAAAATTAATCGGAACGACAACAACGTCACAACACGCGTAGCTAATTCTTGCGGTAAATTGATTCATTGTTTGTAAATTCACAGTTTATGTTAGGATTTTAAACGTTAATTGGTTCTAACACAATTTACCAGTCACAAGTTTGTTCAGATAGTAGTACTTGCTAGGAGATTTCATGAAATTCCCTTAGTCAGAGCTCATCCTATCTAATTATGAATGAGGTTTCTGGATGCTTATACTCAAGTGTTACATTATAACACTTCTTAATTCCTCACACAAGATTGCTAATAGTTCATTTACGGCAGTTAAATCAATCTAACGTTGTCCCACTCTGGGAAAAGTACCGTGAAAATACGGTAGAATTCATAATATCATGGACTGAGGTACGGGGGGATTAAAAATATCTCCCATTAGGCAGTTATTATTATTATATCATCATCACATCACCGAGACATTTTTCTCGCAACGTGGAAAGCTATATCACCAAGACATTTTTTCTCGCAACGTGGAAAATTACATCACCGAGAAGCTTTCCTCACAACGCTGCATGCATTTTGTGTTTATTTATCATTTGTTTTGTTTAGGATACGCTGGGGACCGTCCGTCCACGATATTAACTCTCAAAACTAATGGTTTTAAGTAACCAGTCACTTGGATCGAGGCATCATTTAACATAATGTAAATTCTTTGTTGGAATCGTTGATAAAGTGTGGCATAATTTAACATCAGGTAAATTCTTTGTTCTGGCAGCGGCCATGTTGAAAGAGTATTTTCAAACCGAACACATGTTTGAACTGTAAAATCTCGTTGAACAAATTAACAACATTGTGGGTCATGTGGGACGTGCATTTTATTCCTTTGATATAGGCACAGCGCCACAGGATTGATCAAATATCTGGGAAACATTTTTGACACATTTTTTTGAACGACGCATTCGTCCGACGCCAATTTGGGCCTCCAGATTGAAGGCTATGTTTTTTGTGTTTGTTTGGAAGAATGTAAAACGATGGACCACAATGCGGCTGAATAACTTCACTTTTAAAAATTAACCAATCGCTCGAATGGACCTAACATATTAACCTCATGCAACTTTGTTAGCTTTGCAATTTTTTACCTGATACAAAATTTTCTATCTCACAATTTTAGCCTCAGTACTTTTCTTTGCTGTAATTTAAATTAAATGTAAATTTTCATGCTGTGCAGTTCCTAAGCTACCGTAATTTTTTTGACTGCAGAAGTTTTACTTCATACCAGATCTTTTTGTTTTTATAAATCTTTGTTAGTCTTTTTTTCATATAATATTTTGTTGATTAATGTTTCCATCATATAAATTTTCTGACGTCCAATCTTAATCAGGTAAGAATTCTTTGCTGTTTAGAATTTCAGGAGAGTGTATGGCGAATTTAAATGTTGTTGATTCTTTTTTTTAAATTAACTTGTTCGGTTGTAGTTTAATATTAGAGTCATTGAAAGTGAACATTTAAAATGGAATTGAGGTAAATAACACAATAACATGTGGCGGAAGCGGAGTGCGCGGTTCCTTGTCGAGCTGACGGTCGCGCCATCTGCACAAACTATGCAAGCCTAAGATAGAAGTCAGGGGCGACTGGGATGACGTGACGCTGTCGGTTTGTCCCAATAGCCGAGACCCAACCACGAGTTTGCGACAGTAACGACCTGCTCGTCTAGGCACGTTTCTTCGTGATAGAGGGGTGCTGGGGCACAGTGCTTGCGATAGAATAGAATCACCGTCGTGGTTAGGAGAACAGCCATGACCAGGAGCCCCAAACTCCGCTCGTGCTACAACGCCCCCTATGGGGCTGCTCTGCTCTAGAATGAAATTGATATAGTTCGATCGCCACACTCTTATAGCGCCCTAGTGCCGCTGTCGCTGCATACAGTTTTTATTAAAATTTTGTTTTCTTGTTGACTGTCATAACTTAAATTTGCCGCCACACGTCCGTAGTAACTTGTATATTTGCATCCAGTTACTTTAATTCAGATTTTTCTTTGTCTTTATTAAATTTGTGATATTCAAATATTTGCATTGATTCAGAACGTTTAATTTGATTCCATTCAAAGTTAGGCAAGTTTTTTTTTGTAGCAGAGCATTATAGGAGGTGTCTCCAACGGGCACAACTTAGTCGCAGCTTTTTTCTTTCTTTTTTTTTGTGAGTGCAGGAATAAATAATTTTGTGTCCTCTATATATTTTGTGTTTTATTTAGCGGTACTTTTCCAACTTTGGGGTCCACACTTGCATCTGAGCGCATTTCGCCACAAAAAAAAAAAACAAACACAACGTAGGTTTCATTTTATTAGACGATTACAGCCAAGGCCAAATTTTTTAATTTTTCGCGGGCTTTTCAAAGTTTTTCAAGTGTTAATTTAAGGCGGGAAATTTGGGTTATCACACAAATTTGAGGTAAAAGGTATGTGATTAAGTATTATTTCATTTAGTACGCTAAAGAGGTATTGTGATAGGGTCCAGTGGCTACGATTCATGACCTGCCTGTCGGCTGCGTCGATTTTATTAGCCAGATAATCTTCGAAACTACCTATTTTATATGTTAGCGATGTTGTGCAGATAGTAACCACTAACTAAAATTTGGCTAATCATTCTCAAACAAAAAATTGATGACATCTCCTCAGATTTTATTTAATCAATGCCGTTTAAATTTTATAAAATAACGTATTACTCCTACAATTTGATACAATAATAAGAATCCTACCAGATTTTTCACCCGAGACATCCAGATTTTCGCAAACAAATTCCCAATTGTATCACATTTTATACCCTTATAAGAGCACTGAGGAGTGGTAAACTCAGTTGCTGGGCCATAAAAATATTGAATTACTAAAGCAAGTGTCGCTAATTCGATTAACTCGTGGGTCACAACTTCACCCCATTTTCCCGAAAATTTGACAATACGTTAAGTAATGTTGCGCTCATATATATTTAACAATACTAAACTGAGAATTATCTGAATGTTTTGCTTCATTGTAGTTTTACTAATAATTTCAGTCGCCTACAGGCAGGATGCTGTAGAATAAGATAGTGTATTAATATCATGGCTAGGAAAAAACAGAAACAGTTTTTTCAATCCCTTGCATAATTTCGCTTACGTATTTTTACCAGATCCACGTATAGATTTTTCCCTTTGGTTATCTGCTTTAAATATGTTTAGCATTATCGGTAACAGCGGACAGCGTCCTCGCAGGCAAAGGGGCTATAGTTGTTCGAATATACTTCAGGACTGAGAAAAGTTCTATCTAAATAATTTTAGACCAATTTTTTATTGCTCTCTTGGTATATGTTAAAATTTCGGTTTTAATGAATCTTTACAAAATGAAAAAAAATTTTATACATGACCCGAACTGAAAAATTTTTCAATTTAGTGATAATTATGTAGTAATTTATGTGAACGTTGTTGTTATCATCAGCGAGACGTAAAATTGCAAGTTAAAGTTTCATCTGCAATTCTTAATTCCTTGTTTTCTTATATAAATTTAGGACACAAAAAAGGTTCTGATTTTCACAACCCGAATCGGTCAAATATGAGTTTGACATCACTCACAGAGGTTTCTTGCCTCTTGAAGGTGATGTAACCTGGAATAAACTACAAATACAAAAAAAAAAACTGTGTTTTTTGTTGTTCTCGTTAAATAGCAAGTCAGTTATGCAACGAAATAAAGTGTGGTCAAAAATAACAAAATAAACTGGCGCTATTTATGTTAGTCACAATAAATGACGAGTGCATGTACATCTTTCTGCAATTCTAATTTTATAATGTCGACAAATTTGAATTTAATAGTAATGTATGAAAGCGATTTAGAACAGTACCAGCTATTGGGCAGTGTGTGTTTTCCTTTATATATCAAAATTAGACTTCAAACGGTGTCGCTTATTTCTGTCAACTCAGATGGTGCAGAACAAGTTGCGTTGTTTTCTGAGATATCATCATCAATAAAAGTTGGGTTTTTCGTAAACTTTTTGCCTTTGATGTTTTGATTTTAGTCCGAAATTACTTAAAGAAAACACTAAGCTGAATATTTTCAGAAATTTAGTCTTCTACGTTGTGACTCCTCACTCTTAAAAAATACTAAAAATAAAATATGTATCTTCCTATTCATAGCGCAGGGACTCTCGCAATACTGCATCTAATTACCATGAAATTATTTTGGACGGAAACTGTATAAAGAAGGATGAGGAAGAACATCATTTTTTCACCACAGATGTCGTGATAGGTATGCGTTAATGTATCCATCCGCCCTTTGATGGCAGTGTACAAATCTTGTTGAGGGGTTTCAGAAGTCCCTATACATTGATATGTTAACTTTACACAACTTAAATTGTAATCGAGACTTTGTTTATTTATTAAATATGCAACTGTAAATAGTAGCTTTCCTACATTTTCACAATCCTGCAAGTTACAGCTATTACATAATAAGAATTTCGGAATATGAAGATACGTCTTAGGTTTTTAACAGTAATATAAATCTAACCCTTTGTAAATTTTAAAAACGTGGTTTTATTGGCATACATTTCTCCACAAAATGATTAAAACAACCGTGGGTTAAGAAACCGAGAGATTTGCAGTGCTTTTAACAAATGAGCAATACCAACATGAACTAAACAAGAAAATAGAGAGGGGGATTTTAAAGTGAATAAATGAACACTAGAATTACTAGGCTAGCTTGTATTATGTACATAGATACTTACATATCCATTTTGATTAAATCTACTCTTTTGGAGACAGTAACTTAATCATAGTTTGCGTTTATTACAAATTCTGTTTTTTTTTTTAGTACAAAATATAAAAAATATACATTTAAAAATTATAAAAGCTGAAACGCATTTGGGTATATCGAAGGAACTCCAAAACAGCTAACTTCATCAAAATGCATCAATAGTATAAAAATGTGTATCACAGAGATATAATAAGTTACATTTCTTGCAGGGCAAGCTTAATTTATCTAGACACACGAAAACTGATAATAATCTCAAAAATGTTGCAGCATTTACACGTTTTTTATATTACGGTAAAATGCATGCTAACAAATTGAAATTAATGTTACACATATATACACTTATAACGAGGTAATAAAAAAATAAATCCGATAATTTAATAGAAGGACAGCTAGTTTTACACTCTCACCTAATAATATTCTTGCATCTTTTGTTTAAAATTCACTAACTATACAAATTTTAATAATACTTTGTAGTTATTTTTGTTACATGGCATTAAAGTAACCGTATTACGGTGTTCGAGGTTCAAAGTTCAAGGTGAAGGAAAACAAAATTAATGTAAAGCACACATCAATTTTATCGCCTTCTCTTACGACAATATTTACTTAAATCGAAAAAATTTAAATAATTACATGGAAATGAAGACGCATATGAAAACAGATAGACACTTCACTAAACAATATTTTCGCAGGCAACAAAGCATTAAAATAAATTAAATGTAAATGCTTATTAATAATGGATTACTAAATCATCGCTGTATTGATTTCGTCAAACTAAAGTTTAGTAAGTGCTTGAAAAATATTCAGAATCGCAAATAAATTTTCAGTTTTAAAACGAATAAGTTTATTTATTCCATGTTCGGATCGAAGAAAAGGGCGGAAAAGGCAAATAAGAGGAACACTACACCACCAATAATAGTAACTGAAATAAGAAAATAACTAAGGGTGTAGCTTTAAAATGTGAGTGTTCTTACCTGTCCTCACAGATATTTTTTGCGCGATCATTCGTCCACCCAAAACCGCTAAACCTGTACACAAGGAGTGACCCAAAATTCCTCCGATAATGACGCCATAAACATCCTTCAATGACAACATGAATCAGATCAACAGTTATATACAGGCCGTTCTGCTTTAATTGCGCCTTTGAATGAATAAATTGGCTGACATTTATTAAATTAATTGAAAAATAGGGTTGAGGACACAATTATCGGAGAACGACCTGTGTTCCATAAACCGTACTTCTCTAGCGCCCAGAATAATCGTCGTCAGTTGAGACCTGTCCCCCCATTCAGCTAAGAACGTCAACGTGAACGACTGTAAAAATATCCTAGATATCAGTGAAAAAACACTACCACTTTTGGATTTCCTGGGAGTACCTGCTTCTGCGTCAGGTAGCATCGTTTGCTTCTCGTACTGAAACAAAGACGCTTACAACAATATTTAACGTCACTGGTGACTTTTCACCTCTTCGTCTTTTTTCCGCAAATCGGACTGAACTTCTTCGAGTTCTTCTTGACCTTCTCCCGGTGACATCGCGCAGCCTTCTTTCAACATTTTTAAGCCGAAGAGGGCAAACAGGGCTGTACTTATGTAGAAAGTGTACGCTCGGGGTATAACGTTGGCCAGCCATCCGAAAAGAGCTGCAAATTTGAAAAAACAAAAATTTATAAAACATTCATGTTCGTGTTCAAAGCAATTAATTTATACAGGAAACTTGCCCGACAACTACACGTGCGCTGAATAATAAACATGGAAAAATTCAAAGAAATGCACCATATGTCGGGGAATAAACAATACAATTTTACACAAAAAATCTCGTCCGAAATAAAAGATAATCACTTCGTACGTTTTACAGGAATTCGATTTTTTCTGGGAGGGGGGGGGGGGGTAATCTATTGCGGTCGACCGATAAGGCGAAAGAATGAATTTCGTAAAATAAATATTTGTATTCATTTATTTATTTTTAATCTGTAACAACTGATGCTGTTTCCTTGATTCGATTCCTACAATTGTCTCTTCTTATTAGCTGAAACGAAATCCCGCAAGCTAGCAGGACGAGAATTGCATACAGATAACCGAAGACATCCTCTACGTAAACTTCCTTCCCAGCACACCATTTCCAATAGTAATTCAGGTTTTTTGGTGTATTAAATGTTATACAAAGCTGCGATTTTCGTTTTTACTGACGAGTTATAGTTTTATCTAACTTGTCTCCCAAATAACAATTCTGCAAGTGATTTACTACCAACGGTATTTAAATTCAAAGTCGAAAAGTAACACTAAAAAACAAAGCTCATTCTACTTTTTTATCACAGTCATTGACAAGGGTATAATAAAGCAGGATTTTTCCAGAAAAAAAAGATACAATGTTTCTGGAATAACTAAAGGAAATATTTGTGGAAATTTTCCTTGCTTTCTTGAATAATTTGAGGAGCAATTTTGACACATTGGGAATGTATTTAAACCATTAACTCCAGTATCGCAAAAATGATTCTGATAGAGCAATCGTCAAATGCGACATTACCTTCAAATTCACTAGGAGTAAGGTTTCTTGTGAGGTGTTTACCGTCACGTGATCCCATGGTTAATACTTTGGTTTTCACAATGTCTCCAAGTGTCTTTTGAAATGAGGCTAATGTCCGACGCCGAATCGACTTGAATTCTCGTATAAACGCCGTAAATTGAAAGTTTACATACTTGCGATTATTCTTAGTTTATCGATTGACCCAGTGAGTCATAGCATTTTTAGATGATTTGTTTACAGATGTCCTCTTTGTATTGTGTTAAAAGTTTGTAGTCTTTTTATAAGGTTCGCAGAAACCTCATTGCTTCTACAAAGTCGGGTATATCGATATCTATCCTACTTTATGAGATATTTCACATTTCTAATTATGGAAACAGCTGTGTTCTTTGTTGATTTCTGAGACCATGTTTTTCCTTTTCCCACCTTTTTGAAACTGCTTGAACTGTTAAACTTTGAAGTGATTTGCGTGTCCTGTTTAAAGTTCATCAACCCTTCGTTCACATTCTATCACTATCTTTTAAAATTTATTTCAATCGGAAGAACTCTGGCTGTCTAAAAGTGGGGGAAATTTTGGTTCTAATGTGAAGCTACGCACCTGCTCGTCCTCCAACGAAAATTTAATACCTGAGTTCATTCAGTAAAAAATTGTTTTTTTTACTTCCTGAGCGTAAGCCGACATTCTTTCCATATGCAAACATAAACACTCGAAGTTAAGCATCTTATTATTGCTGAGAGGACATTTTTTCCGTTGGTTATCTACTTTGAATATATTTTATATAGCCCGTACTTGTACTTGTGCGGACCCCATGGTGCACGGGCCGCGAGGGTGTTATTTATGGCGCTGTTTTTTTTTTATAGAAGTTATCACAAAACAAAAATCGCAAAATCAAATTTTATAATTTTTCAAAGAAACGGAATTTGTTTTGGACTTGTACTTCAGACGCGCGGGAAGTTCTGTCGAAATAAACTTTGACCGATTTCTTTTTATTTAATAATCCATCACAACTGATGCTGTCTACTAACTCGATTCCCAAATTAAACAATGTTTTTTCTAAATATGAATCAATATCTAGTGCATACTCTAATTACAAAATGATATTTTTATTTCTTCATAATCAACAAGTTTTAGATGTAAGTATCTTGTAAACACCACACCAATTATCCATTTAGAACAAAAATTAATGCTGGTCTATTTTTGTACTTTGTATTTTATCGCTACGAAACACTTATCAGACCATTGGCTTTTGTTTCATAATTACATATTTTGATTTTATTAATGAATTGCACTGATGTTAATGACTTTATGTTTACGGAAATTTATTAGAGGGGTTTTACAAATTCTGTACAGTACTAAATATCCTTTTTACTTGATTAAGATATTTGAGTTGAAACAAATATCTCATGCACTTTACCAACTGAAATCTTTTTCTCAGACGAATAGATTAAACAAAAATATCTTTGTCTCTTTTGTGCAGACATGCATGCCCATTATATATTTTATCAGCGGCAGAGGGACGTGGCTTTTGTTGGCGCCAACTTAACCGATGCGAGGTTTGTGGTTCAGAAAATTCGGCAGCAGTTCGGTGGCCCGTTAATTAGCCACACGTCATAATTAAGGGTCGGATAATATGCAAAATGCATTTTTCCTGGTAAATGGTAAAAATCTTAATTTTAATACAGTTGGTTATTGGCAGTATGCAGGTAAATAAGTACCGACCTTTTCTAATAATGCGGACAGGTTTTTCCAAGGCTTCATTTATGGGTGTATTACTGGATTTTTTTACTTAACGCCCTCTAAGCCGGATGTTGTAAATATAGATAGTTCTGCAAATGTATTAACGAAGGGTTGGAAGAGATGGAAAACCTAGAATGGATTTGTAAGTATTTCATTCTTCGATTTCCAAATTCATTCATCGTTCGTCTACGAGCTTGGCGACAGAGCAGTGATACTACGCATAATTAAAAAAATGTCTTCCAAACTATCATCATGGATTCGGCCCTACTCAGAGTTGGTTCTACATGAAGATGGTGTTTTTTTGCAAACGTTGCGGCAAACCAGGTTTTTAAAATATATTTTCAGTCCTTAGACTAAAGTCTAAGAGAACCAAATAAAAAAATATGTTTTGTATGTTATTCAATGTCAATAATATGTATCTCTTACATAAATAATTATTTGTTTTAATTTTTTTTAATAGATTTCGAGCGCAAAGAAACATCTTATAGACCAACACTGCAGAACGCCTCTTCACAAAAGAAATTGTGAAAAAAGAATCTCCACCAGTGTAACTCAAACATAAATACGAGAAACTTATACTGCTTATACAGCCAAAAATGAAGACGAAACATGCACGTTCGAGTTATGCCAGGCTATGCTTGCCTTGAATATTCCTTTAAATAAGTTAAGTAATCCTACATTTAATTCATTTTTGCAAAATATTGTAAAAAGACCATTCCAGACGAAAGCACTCTCAGGAAAACAACTGTGTAGATACATGTTATACCGAAACTGTTGCTAAAATTAAGACACGTTTGCAAAATAATAACTATTTACTTTGTTGACGAAACAAGAGATGTATGCCGCAGATATATAGCAAATGTATTAGTTGCAGTTGCAGATTCTTATTTAATTGCTGTTAAAGAGCTAAAAAAAGCGGATAATGTAACTATTTGTAGTAGATTTGTTCAAGAAAGTTTCACCAATATATTTTCACCCAATGCTACACCATTTAATAAAATCGTATTAATGCCTTCTGATGCTGCGTGATATATGGTCAAAGCTGGAACCCACTTAAAAGTATTTTATCCAAATTTGATTCATTGTACTTGTCTCGCCCACGGTGTAAACAGAATAGCGGAAGAAGTACGAAATCAATTTCCATTGGTAAATGAATTAATTAACAATATGAAAAAGGTTTTGATTAACGCTCTGACTATTAATATTTGTGTTTTTTTGTAAGGTTAGCAATCTATTTAAAATTTTATGATGACGTATCTAATTATCAAAGTGACATTAATGTCAGCTGCCATCGTCTCCTCCAATCACCACATTTGTTGCTCATGTCAAAATTGACAACTGTGAACTGACGTGCTAATATGGATGCCAGTAATTCAGAACTGTCAACACAAAAATTTGCTTCAATCATTAATAGCCAATTTATTTGTATTTATATTAGATTGATAAACTTGAAAAAATTAACGTCACATTAAGGAAACAACATCAAATTTATTATAAGGACCTTCACGGCACCTATGTAATTTAATAATAATTAGAGATTAGATATAATAGTTAGCAGAGTATTATTTCTTAAATGCTCAGGACAAACAGTTCTATGATAAGAAGCTCTGTAAGTGTGACAAAAAATTAAGGTATTTAGCAACTGCACTATTCTTGTAAACATTTCGTAAATAACTTGACAAACTTGATTACGTTGGTAATGTTTCATGCACCAACGCCAGATGTATAACAATAGCATTAAAAATAATTTCTTTCTAACACGTCATTTTTTATCTAGTTTAAGTAGTACTCAAAGGTGTACATTACATTATTTTTCACTTATTCAAACCACGATAATTATATAACTCGATATATCTCGTATACAAACTTGACAATTTTATCTATTGATATAAATTAAACCTTCTGCATCCTTTGTCAATGTATTAATTCCTTTGAATGTTTACAAAATTCAGTAACAATTTAGCACTTTTACAAATTTAATGTCATTTAATAATTGTGAAGGTCAGTTAATGAGTTCCCAAATAAATAAACACAAAACAGTGTTGGTGTAGCCAAAAAAACCGTTAAGTTTACTAAAACCTCCACTACCAAAGAAGCAAAGTCAAAGTAAAACTGCCTACATTCTAAGAAATAATAAGAACCTAGCATTGAAATTTTGATTATGAATATGTGTATGAATAAACCTTTGATAACTTTTATCCGTCATAATGCGATACAATATTCCCAATAAAATTTAACTACTAATGTTAAAATATAGTAATTTCTTACTACTTCGATAAATTTGTGTATTTCAATACTTACTGAATATTTAAGAATTCTACTTAATTCTTTAATTATTTAAATCGACTATGATATTTATTATTAAATCTGTAAATGTCATAGGCAAAAAAGGATAAGGGATTTTAACATCCATCTGATAATAGTAATTCAAAAATTTATCAAATTAATTGAAACAGAAAAGACATTAAAACGATTCACTCAAAAGTACACATATTATTTTGAAATTTGATATATTTTGTGCCGTCACAACCTATTCTAAACCCCTAGTTTCCTATTTGTTTAGTTACAATCTAGTGTTTTAGTGGCAGTTTATGTCAAAGTTAACATTTATGGAGCACTGCATGTATAAAAAAGGTAATCTAGGTATTAATTGAAGAGTGACACTTTCACTTTGTACTAACTTTAAAGCTACCGCAGGAATAAAATTCATTCATCATGCTGATATATCATTTTTTCAAAAACTGGTGTAATTATGCCGCCATAATTTGTGCAATTTTCATTCTAATTATCAGCAATTCCTCCTTGACATAGATAGCAAAATTTTTTGACACAGTTAAAATATGATCAAAAATTAGGTTTCTACGCTTGAATACTTACAATGTCATAACTAAGTAGTGTCATAATTAAGTATCTAAAATTTAAATTATCTACAGTAAAAACTATACATTAATAATTTACTATTCATAAAGATTCACAGTTATAAATTTTAAAAACGACTTGAATGTATTTAAGAATTGTTATCTTTACTAAATGCGAAATTATGAAATCTGTATTAAAAAATCTTATCTGAAAAGACTCAAGAGTCATGCCCTTGTTCCATTATAAACACTTTTTTCTTAAATTCTTACCCGACAAAACTGTCATTAAAGCTAACGCAGAAATAGCCCCAGCAAATACTGTCATCCTAGGATGCCTCATAGCCATAATAGCAGCGATGAAGAAGGTCTTGTCTCCGATCTCCGAAACCAAAATAACAGAGAACGAAGCCACAAAAGCATGAATAAATCCAAAGTTTTCCACTGCGACGACTTTTGCGGGTCCATCGTTTGATGAAGCTGCTGCACTCTGTGGAACATGTGTTAAATAAAAGACAGATGACATAACCTCAATCTAGTCTTTACATTACTTACGGAAATGGTTTTCGATTCCAGACTTTCTTCCTTAGGTTCTAATTCGGCCTTTATTGTTTGTAAAAACGTTAAATACATCAAACATACCACACAAGTATGTTTTATTACAGAAATTAATTTGCCCTTCATCTTTTTAAAATACTTTCACAATTAAATATCACAATTCGAAGACGTGTTGTAAAAAGACTTAATTTCCGATAAAAATCACATGAAGAGTCATTGTGAGTAAACGAAGTTAATTACTAATGTTAAATTAAGAAATGAACGAGAAAAAAATTCATGACACAAGACTACGTCCAACCGCACTTTGACAACTGTCACCGCTGACAGCTTGGCAATCTGGGTTCTCCCGACTGTGATTAAAGTCACGCTGAGAGATAACAACGAGTGCTTGAAAGTGCTTGAAATTTATTTGAAAAAGATATATACAAACGTAAATGTGTATTATCTTTTCTATGATTCCTCTACGGATTGTTTGTGATTTATTTTTTGTCCTAAATTAAATGTTTGTAGAACGACGTGATTAGGGTTACAACTCAAATTAAAATACAAAATTTTCCACCAAAATAATAATTTGCACTAAAGATTATTTTACAATATTTAAAGTACATTAGTTGTTTAACGTGTACCTAATACCAAAAATAAAGTAATTAAACACGGAAGTCCAAGTTTAACAAAACCTATAATTTATTAAAATTTTCTCCACATCGTCAAAATATGGAAAGTATGAAGCCGCTTATTACGAGATACTTAATATCTTATTATTTTAAACCACTTTATGTAACTTATTTGGATCGATTCGTATAATTGAGCTTCTCAAAAGTAGTATAAAATGTTGCTGAATTCGTAAAATGTCATCAGTTCTTTTACTAACAAACAGTAGTTCAGTTCGCTAAAATGCAAAAAATCGTAAGTGAAGTTTTATTTTTGTTTACTAGAGAGATAATGTTAATCTAATTTACAGGTAATATGTTTATTTTTCTTCGTAATAGCAACTTCGCAAACGTTTTTCATACAAAGCAAAGATTTGAAAAAAATTTTACAATATTTTCCGAAAGCTTTTGAGGTGGACACGAACCCTCGACACCGTCAGATCCATCATCGACATCGTGAAAATGATAATCGTTATCGCGATGAATACGTTCACGATAATTATGATAGATCGTATGATAGTGCAGAACACCGGAGAAGCGGTGTTAAAAATCCCAAAGGAAAAGTCGGACGTATTCATAACGATAAGGCACTTCATCATTCACATATCGATTGCGATCATCCTGACCATCATCATCACCATCACCAGAACAGATATCCATCAGAAGATCGGGTGGAGAAATATTACAGTAAAAACACCGAAGAAATGAACGATCATTATTCTCAAAATGAGAGGAGAAGTTATCAGGATGAAAAAAAAAAAGTATCTGCACAAAACGATAAAGACTACGAACAGAACGTCTATGAAAAAATCGCTCAGGATAAACAGGGAAATCTCAGTTACAAGAATAAAGATTATGTCACAGGAGTTCTAATCGCCATACCGAAAATTAAGAACGACGAAGATGTAAATGGCTACTATAAAGATAATAAGCAACAAAACGTGTTTTTTCAACATTTATTAAAGGCTGACGAAGATGAAGACCACATACCGTCGTCATCATCATATCTATATTAAATATATTATTTTCATTTCATGTACAAGCATTATGTTACTGATAAAAGTCTATTTTTGTAATTATATTAATAAAAAACAAATCAATAGATAAAAATGAAAGTTTTAAAACATTCGCGGGTACGTCATGTACACTAACACTCTCTAGGTGACGCTCCTCGTACTAATGAGTCAAAATTGACATTGACATAACCAAACATAATTCGTGCCGATTCATTCTGAAGTTGTTTTTGTATTGTTAAAAATTTAATACACTTCTGCGTGCAAAATGGTAAGTTTAAGTATTTAAAAATAAAAATAAAAGCGTTTTTTTAGAGTTTTGCTCTTCCTTCTGTTAAATGTAAACCGGAGCAAGAAGATTTCCCATTTAGTGATGGTAAATTTGGGGTTCCTGAAGTGATGACCGATGGTCTGTCATCTGTAAAGAATGCCTTGGAAGTATCTCACCCATTAATGCAGTCAGAATTAAACGTAAATACTTTCAGATGTTATAATAGTTAATTAATCATTTCTCCTTTAGCATAGGAAAAATGTAGACAAGATGAACATGACTATTCTGCGCAATACACAAGGATTGCATGCACCCCTTCGGCTTGCTATGGAAGTAAAAGCAGTTAATAAAGTTGGTCGTCTACCATTTTTGCCATCATCAAATGTCATGTTTGAATCCTTAACTGGTCGAGATATAGAAATAGACCCTGTTGATGTCTTCAATATACCTGAATCAATAGAAGTTGCAGGAATGCCACATGCTGTTGTAGAACGTTCTTTGGGTTTATTGTAGTAAAAAGGAAGAATTTTTTTAAATAAATAAATTTAATAAAATGCTTTCACATTACTTAATAATTGTATTCAATGTATAAAACTAAGGGGCTATGAGGTTGGAGGTATAATGTTTGTTATCCATTGTAACAGTTTTTCCAACTCGTTTCTTTTTAACTCATGTAGTGTGTTTTTTATTGGTATAAATTCACCTTTAACACCTAAATTTGAAAGTTGATTAAATGTCGATTCTCCCCATGACATTGGCACTAATGTGTCCTTGTCTCCATGACACATCAGAAGAGGCGTCTCTGTAGACTGGATATTTTTATAAACTGCAGATTCATCATTTAGGAATGATGATAAGGTAAACACTCCAGCTAAACCAGGAACAAAACGATATCCAGTATGTAGGGCTAAAGCCCCTCCCATGGAGAACCCACCCACTATAATTTTATCCAAGGGTATGCCAGCATCTACTTCTTCTGAAATTAAAGACTTGATCTGTATCTTAATGTCTTCGATAGTTTCTGTATGTTCAGGAACCTCTGGTGTAATATCATAGCGATTAAACCAAACATTGCTAAGCTTTTTGGAAAATAAAAATTAGCTGAGATTTATTAGTGCCGGATAAATTAATTTACCGCTCCATCCATTGGGATGTAGGGCCGTAACGGAGCTGTTGGAAAAAGGAATTTAACATGTGGTAAGGCGAAACCTTTGATGAGAAATTTAACCCATTCGAGTACACCTTGTCCTGTGTCCCCTAAAAAATATAGCTTTTTATATAACGTTAAACATAATTTACATTACCTGAGCCATGTAAAAATATAACGGACGCTGTATGAGTATTGTTTAGTTGCTTTATAATGTGCACTGGTCGTAAACTAGGCATTTTCGCTAGTTTTGGTAATAATTTTTGTTGCGTAACAATATTTTTTTAACGGACTTATCTGTTTAATGTCTTATTTCTCAGTATCATAATTCTAACAATGCGTAGAGTGCATAATTACATTGTGATTAACATCTACAAGAATGAAAGGTTAATTACAACAATAAACTTCAATGTATTTGTGGTGGCCTAACCATCAAAGTGACAAATTATATTTTTCGAAAATTGTCATCAAATGTTGACATTTTCCTTAAATTTTACAGGGGCGGCTGGTGCCGGGGGGCACAAGGACACGTGTCCCCCCAAAATTACAACGTCTACAAACACACTGGATGTAGCAAAATAGTAATTTTCAATATTTAAAAAATTATCCGGAAATTTGTGTCATAATTATCAAAACTAATTTTTTATCTCGCTCCACTTGTATAAAATGTATCAAAACTTACTTCCAATTGCATCTAAAGATATTTTGGATATATGATATGTTATTTCTGATGAAATGCTGATAAAAGCCCGGCACAGAGACCGAATGGACCGAATCATGGCTGATTTAGATGTTTTGTTTACACCGTTGGCATGGAAACTAGACGTCGTAGCCGCCTGATATGAGCCTGATACACTGGATTGTGAGCCCGTTGCGACCGTGCTCTGGAGGATTGAATTACTATCGCGGGTTTTAATTTTCATTCTGCGCGAACACGTATGATAAATATTCTTGGATAATCTTCTCGGTAGTACAGACATTCGGAAACAACTACACACCGCTTATATTAATAATATTCGGGCACATAACGCAAGGGTCGACAAAAATCGCCATATGTTACGCCGATTGATAATGTGCATACAATTTTGTGGAGTGTTTGAATTTGCTTTACTTGGACGAAAGTAGGGAATCACAAAATCCAGGTATATTTCGAGATCTGATTGATTTTATGGCTGAATTGGACTTTATCAGATCATTTGAAAGAAGCAACGGTTTTTAAAGGAACGCCTAAAACTGTCCAAAATGAACTTCCTTTATTTTTATTGAATGTATTTTCATATTTATTTCCGTCACACAATTTCGTCTATTAATTGGTAGTAACAACCTGTTTTATATCTTCATATTTAACTCTCATCAATCAAATTGTGTCCCCCCATTTCAAAAGGTCAGCAGCCGCCATTGAATTTTTAGTGGGTAAAGTGATTCTTTTTTGTCACATCACCGCGAAATACTTTTTCGTTCTAGAACGTAAAATAAATGTCAAAAACTTTGTAAACTTTTGAGAACTTATTGGGAATTCTATTAACTGATTTTACTTTATTAAAGCAAATAATAATTCTATTATTATTACAAATTACAATTATTAATACAATTTATCATTTATTTTTCTACATGTAAACTGAAAGTCCCGATGTTGCAATTGGTTAAATTGATGCTAGATCCAGTGCCTGTAGTTATCGTAGCTTCTATTTCTGTATGTCCAATTAGGCTGCTGCTGTAATTATTCAAGTTTACTTTTTTATTATTTGTAACTTCCGTGACCTCTGCTGAAGATTGTAACATTTGATTTGCTATCGAAATTTTATTTTGTATAGAATCTTCAATATATGTCTCTGCTACCGTAGTAGAGCGCCACCCCCCATGTCGTTTAATGGTTGTAATATTGGCTCCTGAGTCGGCTAACAAAGTGGCGGAGGAACGCCTGAAGCAGTGCCATGTATAATTTTCCGGGTGAGGCAATTTGAGATACGTTGCTATTTCTTTTGGTACATTCCTTATTTTGTCGATGCCAACCACTTGACTAACACATTTTCCTTGATATATTTCACAAAAAAACTTTGACTAGTAGTAACTGCCGGACGGAAATCACGGTATTTTCGCAATATCCTGATATGGTCTAGACGTGAAATCACGAAAGTTCTCTGACTATGATTTTTAGAATCGGGAATTCTTATAATAATGTCTTGTATAATGTAATCTTTGTCTTCTATATCACTGGTCGTCATTTTGAGCAGTCCATCTGTTCTACAAGCTCCGCAAAGGCCAATTATTAAGATTACTTGAAAAATGGGTCAAAATTATTTCAATCGATGTATTTATATCAATTTGGAGTACGTACCTTTTGTAGCAGAAATCTATTATCAGGTGCCTCTTGTAAAAATCTCTCTACTTCTTCTGTTGTTAGAATCTTCGACTTTTTTGGTCGGTACCCAATTGACTTGTTTTTCAAATATGGTACATATCAGTTTCGGAAATTATATATCGACCATAAAGTGGAGGGTGCTACCTTTTTTATTTTACACTCGAAGTATGCCAATAACACAGATTCGGACACTTTTTAGATTTTCTTGGAACTGCACCACTCTTTGAATTCCGTTTAGGCAAGTTCGTATTGTCTTACCGATTTTTGTGATATCAATTGCAACACCGCTCTTTGTCCCGCTTCGAAAACTTCTTGTTGTTTCACTTTCAGAACCTCGTTCAGAACTTATTTTTTAATAAAACACTATAAAATTGCAGCTCCAAAACGAGTTTTTGAAACAACTGATTTTTATTGTTTGCTACATTGGTATAGATCGTCTTGATTCAAAAATTCACTTGATATGATTTCTTTGCTTTGATTTTATTGGATTCTCGTAATTCTCAGTTTTCGAAAAAACGTTGTTTGATACTTGATTGCGAAATTCATTTGCATTCTCGAATGGAAATGTAGCATTTCGCAATCTAGATTCAAAAATAACTTAGGTACATATTTGTTATTATTTTTTTTATTACTTTTCTAAATTATTTCTTTTTAATCTCATAATGTGTAGGGGAAAGTGTCCTAAATCGACATACTTTTTTTCAGATGCTCAAATTTTCTAAAATGAGTCTTTGTAGATACGAGCTATTTTTATCTATATTTTTAAATTAAAATTTATTTTTTCTTATAAAGCCGGGAGAAAAAATTCAACTTTAGAAGTGGGTATATGTCATTTTACCTTCAAAGGTGCTTTTAAAATGACATGCTTGAGGCAATAAAATGACATACTACCTATATGTATTACAAATCTAGGCAGAAAGTTCACAAATGAAATGTTTTGTTTTATGGGACACACCAGCGCAATCGCTATGTGCCCATAACTTACAAACAGCACATCGTAACCAAATTTCTTTAGATCTCGAGTTTTTGAACAAGTCGTTCTTCATCTTCTTCTTCGGTTGGCACGGTGGCAACATTTGTGTTAAAAATATTTCTTTTGCTGCACTCTTTAGTTGAAGAGTGATTAGCGACACCACCACTATGTCATTATACCCACCATGTGCTTTCCTTTTGTATACCTAATTTTTTTAACGTACTTTATAGACTTTTCTAGATATAAATCTTGAACAACCTGAAAGCTTATACTTCAGCGATGGCAATGAACTTGTTTCGATTCAAAATTAAATTAGTCAACCATCCATGCTTTCACAAGGTTATTGTAGTAGCGAGACTTCATCAATTAATTTATTGTTAGTAATGCAGATCCTTCCTCATGACATACAAAATTTGCGAATCTAGCGAACAAGATGGTGTCGAGTGGGTTCTCGAGATCCATGGGTTTAAAATGATGTTTTTTCTTAAAAATTACCAAAGACTTATCTTTAATAAATTGATAACACCACTGTTACCTCAGGTATAGTTAGATTATAAGGTCACTGTATTAGCATTTCGTTAACCGTATACGTTGTGAAATTTCGATGAATTGGAGAGGATGTGCATTGTGTCACTGTTTTGACCAGAAAGTTTAATAACCATTAGTTTGTTAGATTCGTTCACATCTTGTATGTACCTGTAATAGTAAATTTATCACTTCATTTCTTGTAATCATCATTTTTGCAAATAATGCATTTTTTTTTTTAAAACAGAGGAATTCGTATTTTATACCTAATATGTGACGTTTTTATGCAATATGATCTGCCACATATTTTATAATGTTTATCACACTCAGTTAATTTTCATGGACATTACACACATTATGGTATTTTTCGCACATTTGTGCAGGTGATTTTAGAGTGCATTTAGTTAGATTTGCTTGTTGTTTAAATAACTATGGGAGCAGTAATGTAAATGTTAATATAAAACACACTAGATAGAAATTCACTTATTCAGGCTCGACTAGTTTCGTTGTGATTATATAAAATTCTGAATGGTTTTCCCTAAGTTATTAACGTTATTTAGAGTTCATAACTTCTCACTCAATAAAATTGTACATTGGTAGCACTTAACTTCAAACATTGATTCATTTTGAGGTTGAGAGAAAGAGCTTTTTTTTTTTTTTTTTTTTTTTTTTTATTTGTACATTTGGTCGCATCGACAGCTAGGTCATTAGCAACCTTACATGGTAGGGAAAACACACTTAGTAAAAAGAAAAACCCTTCTATATGCATTCAAACAGCTTAATATGTTTAAGGAACAGAAGGATGTTGACCACGTTCGGGATGGTACTTCCTAGCGCTTCGGCGAGGTTGGGTGATATTTGGAAATGGTTGCGTTGGGTTTGCCAGTGGGGACAATCGCAGATGAGATGCTGGACAGTTTGACGGCATCCGCATTGCTGGCAAGTAGCTGGGGAGGTGCGGTTGAGCAGGTATCCATGGGTGAGCCGAGTGTGTCCTAATCGCAACCGCGTTAAAACGACTTGATCACGACGATCTGGCGGAAGTGGAAGTATACAGTTAACTTCTGGCTTAATCTGCTGCAATGCTGTAGGCGTAGAGGTCCAGTCTGTTTGCCACTTTTGAATGATAGCCTGTTTAAATAAACTTTTGGCGTCAGGTGCTGGGACTAACAAAATTTCTGCGGCAGATTCCGATTCGACTGCTTCTTTAGCAGCCCTGTCAGCTTCTTCGTTTCCCGATATGCCAGTGTGAGATGGAACAAAGATGAAACGGACGGTTTTGCCGCTATTGGAGAGCATGGTCCACACTTCAAAAATTTGCATGATCAACGGATTGGTTGAATAAATATTTCGCAGTGCGCTTAGACTGGCTAAAGAGTCGGTACAAATGCAGTATTTAGAGGCGCTCATCGTGGTGATAATCTTGCAGGCTTGGAGGAGAGCGTAGAGTTCGCCCGTGAACACACTAGCTGGAGATGGTAGCCGTAATAGTCGGCGTACGGAAGGCCCAACGACGGCTGCACCGACGA